GAATGCTGATGTAAAGTGCCTTGAGGTAATGCATGTTAAGGTATGTATGTATGTTATGATTTGACACTGTATAAATGAATTGATGAATGGTGGTCTGACACCTGAATTGTCCTTCTTTGCCACAGTCAAACAAACAGCCTTCTGCATACTTAAAAACCAAACATGTCACCTATATGTCGTCACTGTTCCTAAAACAGTCCTGTGCTTTGGCAACATTCTGTATTTTAGTTGCAAAATGTACTGAAAACAGCACCATGAATGGCCTTGGTGTTTCTGTCAGGAAAACATTTGTGTAAGCAGCACCCCTCCCTTTGGAAACACGTTGAGCACATTACTGCATTACACAGGAACTGCACCTGATTCACTGTGCAAACAGCCATCCTAAAGGCCATTTCAGCCCAACATGAATGTTGCTGACTTTTCTTTTCTTTTGTGATGTCTCATAAAATGTCATGGTGTATTTTTGGATGATAGGTGACCTCAGTTAGCCCTGTGTAGAGACAGAGACAGAGACAGAGATGTAGTTTATGTATTCTTTTATTGTCCTTTGTCTTTGGGTCCCTTGTATGGTGCAGTTGTGAACTTAGCTCCTGATGAGCAGAGTTAGTCACACAATACACAAAATAAAAGGCAATAGATTTGGTGTTTCTTTAAACCTTTAAAGACATATTGGGAATAATGCCTTTTTTGCTGAGCATTACATGAGAGGAATGATGCCACGCTCATGTTTGAACTCTAAATATGAAGCGTTATCAGCTTAGTTCTGTTTAAAGACTTGAACAATTGGGAAACAGCATCTCTAAAGCTTTCTGATTAACAACCTACATTTTCCTTAAGTTCAGTTAATAAGTCGGCTTTAGAGGCAGGGGACATTTCTAGTCTTTATGAGATACAAAGCTAACCGGGTGCAGGCTGCAGTTATTGTCAACAGACAGATATTAGTGGCAATCTGCAAACTGCACCTGTACATTTATTTTATGTATTAACATTAACATGTTACATCTTTTTTTTTTAATTCATACTCAAACTGAAATGTAAAAACAACCAGTTATAGTTTTATAGTTGCTTTCGAGCTGTCACTGTTCTCTCTCAGCGTGGAAACTCACTGCACGCCTTTCACCAGGCTCAGGCGGATGACCTCAACCAGCATCTCTGCCAGCTTGATCTGGGTGAGCTAAAAATGATCAATGTGCACCGTTAATGATACCCTCCGATGGAAGAAACCCTCAGCACCTCCATGTGGGAATTATTGGTATTTTAAATGTATTGTATTTCTGTCTCATTCAGCAGGCTGCTGCAGGTTGGCTGCTTTGTCTGAACAGTGAGCCAGAGACAGGTTGGCCAGTTCAGAGCTGAGATAGCAATCAGGTTGCCAGTTGCTGCCAGGAAAAGCATGCTCACAGAGCCTGGCTTAGTCCCATCAGTGACCTCAGCACTCTGTACATTACTCTTAAGTGTTTGTTATGTCAAATTCAACATATCTTTTACCTGTCATCCAGAAGTGGGTTAAATCTTCAATAGTGTATACTGTCTGCCCAGAAAGAGCTATGTTAATGTTGGCACCTGTTTTTTTTTTTTATGAGCAATTTTGAATCTAGTGCAGGTTTAGTCACTTTTATTCATGGTATTAACAAATAATTAGCACATTTTAGTCTAGTTTTGTTTGTGAAATTTGACTGTTGTGTGTTCATTCTTAATGTTTAGGTTTGAACCACTTTGAAAGACAAACCACTACTGAACAACAGGTGAAATTATACATTTTTCTATTCTCCCTCTCAGATTTGCATGTTCAACACTGTGTTACTAATTTGTAGAGTTATGTTTGGAAGGTTGGGGTCACAAAAGGGTCTATAGCATTGACTCTGCTCATTCACTATAAGAAACTACAGTCTTTGTATCAAAAATAGCAGTTTATCAAGGCGCTAGATAGATAGTGTGTCGATTTACACTGAGAGCTGCATAGCTGTTTGCTTGTTGAAGCTATGTCATGCTGTGAAGTTGAAGCCAAACAGAGATACAGCCACAAAGGTCTACTTCATTGTAACTACTCTGCAACACAATACTTTTCCTATTAATGCTAGGCATCTTCTATTGCCAGATAAGATGAACTATTGTTTGCATCGTCCTCTTTTCTAGATATCTCCTTTATGTTCAGTGCAAAATCAATGTCTTCTTTTAGGACTGTGGATTTTTGTACTTTTACCACTGTTGTTCATGTAAACCAAAGCGACTTGGATAGTTTGGCCAGAAAGACAAAACAAAATAACGTAAATATTTCTACACTATATCAAAAAATATTCATAACCAGAAATACATCTTTAGATAATCACATTCTACATACTTAGAAAACAAACAATGCTAACATTTGGATGTTCCTTTTTCTAATAATTTTAGTGATGAGACTGATGTTTGGTCCAACACATTTGTATAAAAACCTAAAATACTGGACGATATGATGAAGTACAAAGTACCAGTTGTAGCACCTTGTTAAGAATGGACAGCAACAATCAGTTTGGTTGTGCTAAGCTTGCATTTCTATCTGACAAGTACGAGAGGATCTGAGCGACCTCTGTTGACGCCTCATTTCAGCTGCGTTTCATGGCTTTGCAGTTGTTCCTAGTCTTGAATAAAACAAGATAAGTGCCCAAAGTATCGTTCCAACCATGAGACATTTTTCTGTTAAATTGTTCTCAGTTTAGATTTGTGGTTCCTTGTTACTTCACATGCCTTGTCCATTCTTGAATGACAGTATGGCTGTAGCCCACCCCGTCAACCCACCCCTCTCAAATGCATAGAGTGCTGCAGGAATGAGTCCTATATTCCATGAATAAGTTTGTATCTATGCACTTCGAGTACCATGGCCCTGAATCTGTGTTTGTTTGTTTTTTTATTTCATGAATAAATTACATCAGTACACACTCACCCACCCAAGAGTTATGTGTCATACAAGTTGTAAGCTTGGTGGTGTTGAAGTTGTGTGTACATGATGTAGTTGGTTTATACCCTAACATTAGCATTTTTCTTCTGGTGATTACATTTAGACTAAAAATGTTCATTGGGGAACAAAACATGTATCATGAACTTTTGTTTTTATAAGAGCTTATTATAATAATCATAAAATGATTGGTAGAATCCAATTGTTTATTTTTAATTTTTTGAGGGAACCAGTGTGATGTTAACATCTGCATTGGCTTAAAAAAACACATCATCCCTGAAGCACTCTATTGATTAATGTGTAAACCAACCCTCATAGAGTATGGGGTCCAAGATTACAAATCAACAACTGACTCTGTCTGACATGTCATAAGGTTTCCATGAAAAAAGTATCACAGTTTGAATGCATTTGTACAAACCTCTTTTTTTCTCTCATTTGTGTGTGTGTGTGTGTGTGTGTGTGTGTGTGTGTGTGTGCATGCTCATGTGTGCTGTCTGTGTGCGCAGGTTGTTTGTATGTCTTTTTTGTGTTTTAGTTATAGCCCTTGAAGCAGTACACTCCGTACAGCTTGTGCTTTTTGTCGGGGAAGCCGCTGAACCTGACGGCAGCTTCTGTGGGACTACAGCGCCGGCGAGGGCTGGAGATGGGATAACGGACACTGCCATCGGCCAGCCAGCCAGCGTCACAGCGGTCATAACCCAGCAGCTTCCAGGCGGCATACATCTGGCCAACCTTGGCAATCTCAGCTCCGTCTTTTTGACACGCCTTGACAGCCTCGTCATAGGTCAGCTTAGAGGGATGGATCAGGTAGTAGAACCGGCCTAGGTAAATAGAAAGAAAAGCAGATAAAAACATCACTACGTAATAAAATCTGACAATGAAGCATAATGTCTACAGAAAAGAGATCATGTGTTCAAAAAATAAAAGTCTAAAATCTACTGACGATAATCTTCATATATGCAGATGACACTAATTAGAGAGATGCTGAGCATGTGGCTGCTAAGATGTAATTGAGAATGAAAATAGTGCAAAGTTGCAAAGGTTTTTGGTAAAAGTTGCGAAAAACTTGTGGTGGAATACTCCAGTAACATGCAAAGTTCACATAGTGAGTATATGAACAATCATGCTTACAACACATCTGGTTGTCTGGGCTAATGTCTGGAAAAAAGGAAGTATATCACTGGTCTTGCATATATCAGAAACTTACAGTTGAAGTTTTTTCTACCCTAACACACCTTGAAGCATGCCATTTATAAAATGCAAGTAAAATCAACTGTTGGTTGAATTCCTTTACCTGTAGTCATGACATAGTGCTTGCATTGCAAAAATACACATGTCAAACATAGACACACTCAGGGCAAACTCAGTGAGTAACTTTTCTTTGTTCAGCCAACAGTGGGAATGGTTTGACCCTTCAGCCTTCTGATTTTTATTGGATCATTGTCCTTATGTTAATAATAGTAAACCCAAACACACAGTTAGAGAGTATAGTTATAGTCCTTCACCTTTGTAATGGGAGGTGAAGCAGAAGACATCGTAGTGGTTCTTGTCCTTGTCTCTCAGGCCATAGTTGCGAATGCCCGGTACTGTGTTCTTGCCGCCACATGGTTCTCTAGGGGTGGTGATGGGATATTGAACTGAGCCATCATTCAACCAGCCAGCATTGCACCAGTCCATTCCTCCTCTCCATGCATCATACAGCTGATCGAAGGATGCCACGATGGCATCCTGGTCATTACATGCCCGCACAGCGTCGTAGAAATTGAGGTTGTAGCGACCCAGGCGAGGATAATATGGGAAGATAACCCCTATACAGAGAGTTGTGGGGGAAAAAAGAGAGCAGAGAAAGTGAAATGTTAGATGACCTGCAGTTATTAGATACAACTGGGGCTGCTTGACCTTCTATGTAAAGTGCCTTGAGTAATGTATATTATGATTTGGCGCTATACAAATAAAATTGAATTGAATCGAATTTATTCATTATGACCTGCTTCTGAATGCTGGACTACCTCTCATCTCAATGCTCCGGAGACTTCTGTGTTGTTGTGAATGTGTCTGTCCACAGAACCTCCTGCTGTGTTGTTCATGTGTGAAGGTCCTGATAAAGTCTGGACCCAATTGTGCAGACGTTCTCCAGAGTTCATGTCTGAGAACTGCTATAGATCCATTCTCTGAGATTTAAATTCAACCCTAATGTTTAACCTAATGACAGAAAGTGAAAGCACATTTCTCTGTATCAGCCTGCTGCCAGCGTTTCAGGTTTCAGGCAGTAATGTCTTATGTCTCTGGCTCCTCTCAGGCATAATGAAGCTGCTCTGACACTTATGCACACTATGCTTACAGAATACACTCCTGACATTCCCCCAAGCAGTCTCTGCTGATGGAGCTAAATTTAGCTTGACTGCAGCCTGTTACAATATAATGACATTAAATTACTTTACCCAAATATCATACCTTCAAGGTCAAGAGACACCACCACTGTTCCATCTTCCAGCCCATCAATTACTTCACATTTATATCTCCCATAATCCTCCAGGGTGATTTCTGTGATGACCAGAGAGGCATCCATGGGTGAAGAGCCTTGTAGGTGCACCCGTCCATGGAAACTGCCATAACTTCTCTTGTGATAATCCATGACAACAAAAACGTCCACCTAGAGCAAGAAGAAGAGTGGTGAGTTCATGATGCCAAGGTGCTATGTTCCAAAATTGAGTGCCGGAGATAACTCCATTGCAAAAATGTCAAACATTTACTATGTTTCATTGAATTTAATAATTTAACTACGGAAGGGGATAAGAATTAAGAAATCCAAAAAATCAACTGGTGAAGACATCTTAAAGTAACAGTGTGTAGAATTTAGTGATATCTAGTGTTGAAATTGCATGTTGCAGCTGAACGCCCCTCACCTCACCCTCCCCTTCCAAACATGAAAAAAAACTGTGGTAGCTTCAAAATCTCAAAAGGTGTTTAGTTTGTCCAGTCTGGACTGGTGTAAAAAACACAGCCGCCTCCATAGAGAGGACCCCCTCTATGTAAATATAATAATAAGTATTCTGGGGTAAAAAAAAACTACAATTCATACAATTTAGATGAAACGAACTAGTGAAAACATCATGAGGATTATTCTACATAATAGATCCCTTTCACCTAAATCTTACACACTGGACCTTTAATAAAAAGATCTGCATATAACTTCATGTTAGGCAGAAGAAACAGAGCTCTGTTCAGGCCTAGGTCAGATTCTGGTTAAAATTAGACACAGGGCACATTGATAGATCTGACAAAAAAAAATCAGTTTTTTGGTTGGGCACAAGGGACTTGTCAGTTTTGTCAAATTTAAGTAGATATAGATATATAGATAGATATAC